TTCCGTTCTTTGCCTTTCCTGTTTTCCATTCATTTTTCTCTGCCTTTTGGCCAATTTTCTCTGAATCCTCTTCTAGTTCTTTAATTCTTTCTTTAGCTCTAATCTGTTTACTTCAGCTGAGGTTTTATTTTAATGACTGTGATTTATCATTTTCTCATGCTCCCCTTTTATATGTATTGTCTTTAAGCTTGGAGATATTCTAGAATTATCTCAATAGAAACTTTGATATTTTGGTTGGCAATTTATAAACTTTGATTTCTTTCTCAAGCTGATTGTATTTGTTTTTTATTTTAGAGGAGTTTTTCAGAATCTTTTCCACTGACTGATTGTCTAGCCTTCATGCTTCCACTGCCATGATTCTTTTAGCAATTCTTCTGAAATTTTAGGACCATGTCTCTCTTTTTGAATTATTTATTTTAAATAAATTTGTTTAAATAAATTTGTTTTACCTTTGGTAATAGTTATTTGTTGTTTGGGCATCTGTTAGACTAGCGTGTAGTTTTCTCCTTTGACCTGTTAAGTATCATTTTACTGGATTCCTGATGAATGACTAACATAAATTTGAGGGAAAGAACAAGAGTGAGAGAGGGAGAGGGAACTGAAAGGGAGAGGGAAAATGGAATTTAAGAGGTTTTGTATCCTCACAGCTTGGATTATTTATGTGTCTGTGTGTTTTTTGTTTTTTTTTTTTTTTTCATTTTGTATTCTCTTTGTCAAGTTTGGATATCTGGATTTTGCTAATTTTATGAAATGAACTTGGAAGATTTTCCTTTTTTATATGCTTTCACATATTAATAACTTATTGTATTTTCTTTAAAGGTTTGATAGAAGCCAATCCTATAATAATCCGGACCTGATGCCTTTTTATTGGGAGGAAGGGAGGCAGTGGCTGTAGTTTTCTGTGCCATTACTGCCCTGCAGTTCTTCCATAGCAGTTGGTCTGAATTTATATTTTATTAATTTATATTTTAACATAGGTGTCTTCTGAGGTGGGTGTTAAAAAAATTCATTTTTGTGGGGGAGGGAACTTTGCCATCTGTAAAGTCACTAGAAATGATCGATTGTTTACTAAGATTGCCTGATTTTAATTGCTGTGGTCCACTGAAGAGATCAAAACAGGACAGGAAATCTAGTACCTTTCTTGAATTTTTTGCTTCTGTTTGTAATTCTTTCATTTCCCTTTCAGGACTGTTGAAACAGATTTTCTTCATTTTTTCCAAGAAGGCATTTTAAGGCCAAAACTATATATCTTCTCTTAGTTTTACAATATCTTATTCTATTTTTTTAATATATTTATATTTAATAATTATCATCAAAGTTCTTTCTCTTACTCTTCTGGGAAATGTGAGCCAATTTTTTCTACCAGACTCATCTTCCCTAATTTCAGTGATGGCTCATAGTGATTTTTCTTCATTCTTTGGATATAAAATTACTTTTGTTTCGGGAATTAAGAAATCTTATTCCAGAACATTCATGGTCTGGCCCTGCCCTACCTAACCAAACCTGTCATTTTCTGCTCCCCGGTACAAAAATTTTATTCTAATCAGTTTTAATCAGCTCAGTTCCGTAATTTCCCTCATGTTCATTTTCCTTTTCTATTCTAATTTTTTCCTTTCTCTCTCTCATTCCTTGGGGGGTGGTTCTTTACCCTAACTGTGCATGCGCTTTATCTATGGAGCTTTAAAAAAAACAAAACAGGGGCGCCTGGGTGGCGCAGTCGGTTAAGCGTCCGACTTCAGCCAGGTCACGATCTCGCGGTCCATTGAGTTCGAGCCCCGCGTCGGGCTCTGGGCTGATGGCTCAGAGCCTGGAGCCTGTTTCGGATTCTGTGTCTCCCTCTCTCTCTGCCCCTCCCCCGTTCATGCTCTGTCTCTCTCTGTCCCAAAAAAATGAATAAACGTTAACAAAAAAAAATTTTAAAAAAAAAAAAATAAAATAAAAAATAAAAAAAACAAAACAAAACAACAACAACAAAAAAGGCTTTGGATAATAACATCTTCATTTATTTACTGAAGTGGAAAGAATCCCCGAACTAGGCCTAATTTTTCCTCTCTTCCCCTATTCTAAAGACAGCCTGAATCTTAGTTTCAGCACTGATTGAATACCTGTTATGACTAAGACACCAAGATAAGTGATGGGGAAACGAAAGATAAATAAAACATGTTTCTGATCTCAGAGCAGCTGATAGACATGAAAAACATAATCAATTTTAGGATATCAAATTCTGACTATAAAGCACTTCTGCCTGAGTGGTCAATGAAGTCAACATAGAGGGAGGTTATTTTCTGAGATGAAGAGACTATAGGAAAAAGAAGTTTTGGGGGGGATTGTGGGCTAGACCAGAAGTTAAATCTTTGAACATGTCAAGTTTGCAATGTCTATTAGTTATTTTAGTGGAGATGTTCAGTAGGCAGTTGGACAAAAAGTCTGGAGTTGAGAGGACAGAGCTGGATTTTAAAATTTGGGCTTCATCAGTCCATATTTGGCATATAAAGCCACAAGATTGGATAAGATCACCTGGAGAATAAGTATAGCTAGAGAAAAAAGACATCCAATGCTTTTTGGGGGATATGAAAAATTAGCCAAGGAGTCGTAAAGGAAAATAATACGATATCTGACAATAGAAAGAAAAGGAAATTTCTGTCATTGCTTCTCAAATTCTGAGATTTTGCATGTATAACATGCTTCTGGAAGATTATGCTGCTGCTAGTCTATGGACCACTTTTGAGTAGCAGGACTTTGTATGACAAATGAAGCATAATGTGAAAAACATGAAAAAAACCGCAACATTTGGAGGAGAATAGGGTTAATATATAAAATATCTAGAACATAGGATATCTATAAATCAACAAGAAAAAAATAGAATGAAAGAAAGAATATGAATAGGGAATTTTCCAAAAAGAAATGTAAATGTCCAATAAACATGAAAAATGGTTTTCTGGGAAATACAGATTGAAACAACAAGATCACCTTTCCCCCTTCAAATTGCCAAACGTTTCAAAGTTTGATAAGACCCAGTGTTGGTGGGATTATAGGGAAAAGCATGGACTCATACCCTCCTAGTAGGAATATGACTTGGGACTTTTTTTCTATTGGAAAACTATTTGACACATTTATTAAATTTTTAAATGCACATAACATTCAATTCAGGAATTCTATGCATTGATATCTAAAAGGGAAACTGAAACCTGTGCCCAGAAAGGCAGTTCAGAACTGTTCATTGAAGCATTGTTTGAAGTTGAGAAAAATGGAATAATCTGAATATCCTCTAGGAAGAGAATTATTAAATAAACCAAGGGTCCTGAAGCCCCCTCCTTGTTCATCTATCTATACCCTCTTGTACATTTTTTAACTACCTCACATTTTTAAATTATAACTTTCGGTAGTTTAAAAGGTCTTAATCTCTAGTGTGTATTATATTTATGCTGTTCATTTTGGGTCACACCTTAGAATTCCAGGTTTAGATCATGCAGTTTATGGAGTATCTAGTATACAGTGTAATTTGCAAGCACATTCTCTAACCACTCAGATAAATTGGACTCATTCTTCATCAAGGAAAAAATGACTTTTTAAAAAATAAACACATAATATATGCCTGTACTATAACCACCCAACTTGTGAATTCTAGGCTGGCCAGCTGGATAAATGAATGAGGCTTGGAACCCTGCCAAGAATTTATTTCACTGATAAAATAAGGTCTTGGTTTTAACCCCTACCCCTTTTCTCTCAAGGGGTTTTTCCCTCGTGTTGACTCCGTACTTTAAAATTTATACATCTCAGAACAGTGCACATTAGTAGGATCTGAGATGGAGAAGAATTTTGCCTTTCTTGTATAGAACGGAGAATTACAATGTGGTGATTTTAAAGGGAGAGGAGGAAAGGAGACTAGTTCTCAAGCAGTTCAATTAGGAGTACACGAAAACATCAAGGAGCTGAAAATTGTCCTAAAATTATCCGTGACCATCCACTGTTAGGTTGCTCTTGAAGTTTGAAGACCATTGACGATAAGCAGTGTCATAACAATATTACGAAATAAATGTTTCTATCCTTAACACCACCATTTAAAAACAGTAAAATACGGGGGCGCCTGGGTGGCGCAGTCGGTTAAGCGTCCGACTTCAGCCAGGTCACGATCTCGCGGTCCGTGAGTTCGAGCCCCGCGTCGGGCTATGGGCTGATGGCTCAGAGCCTGGAGCCTGTTTCCGATTCTGTGTCTCCCTCTCTCTCTGCCCCTCCCCCGTTCATGCTCTGTCTCTCTCTGTCCCAAAAATAAATAAACGTTGAAAAAAAAAATTAAAAACAGTAAAATACGTATGTATTGATATGGAAACAACTTTGAGGAATGTTGTTCAGGGAAAAAAACAATTATTAAAAATGTTTTTTAAATATAATATTTATATGTATTTGTATACTTTGTATATGTATTATTATATTTACTTTATTAAAAAGGAGATGTGGAAAGGATGTATATAACAAATTGTAAACGGCAGTTGAGTTTTGGGCAAAGGGTCCAGGAATGTGGGGAAGTGTGAAAAGAGACTTTCGTCATTCTTTTTTATTTTAATTTTTTTTAATGTTTATTTAGTTTTGAGACAATTTTTGAGAGACAGAGTATGAGCAGGGGAGGGGCAGAGAGACAGGGAGACACAGAATCTGAAGCAGGGTCCAGGCTCTGAGCGGTCAGCCCAGAGCCCAACACGGGGCTCGAACTCACAAACCGTGAGATCATGATCTGAGCAGAAGTCGGACGCTTAACCTACTGAGCCACTCAGGCGCCCCTGTCATTTATTCTGAATACTCATGTATTATTTGAATCTTTTACAGTTGAGTATATTTGTACTACTAGTGTAGAAAAGAGTTTTTAGGTGTTTAATAAAAGATGGGAAAAATTGCTATGCTAAATGGTCTCACAGGTCTCAGCTCTAAATTTCAAATTTTAAAATATCTCTAATTCATATCCTAAATGATTCTTATTTACATTCTTTTAAATTATTTTTCAGGTGTGGAATATCAAACAAATGATTAAGTTGACACAGGAACATATAGAGGCCCTATTGGACAAATTTGGTGGGGAGCATAATCCACCATCAATATATCTAGAGGTAAGCTTTTGAGTATCATATCTGTAGTGATTTTTTATTTTTTATTTTTGTTATTTTAGAGACAGCGAGAGAACACAAGTGGGGGAAAGGGACAGAGGGGGAGAAAGGAGAGAGAGAGAATCTTAAGCGGGCTTCACACTTAGCACAGAGCCCCGTGCAGGTCTCGATCCCACGACCCTGGGATCATGACCCTAGCTGAAACCGAGAATTGGATGCTCAACTGACTGAGCCACCAGGTGCACCTGTAGTGATTTGGAAAATAAAAACATGAACTTACAAAAAGCATTTGTACTAGTAATAATGTTTACCCTAGGGGATGAGAAATAGATATGGGAAGGTGGATTACCTTCGTCTTTATTATATTATACTTCTTAATCTTACTTCATTTGTTACAATAACATAGAGTATTTTGTAGTTTGGAAAAGGAGAAGTCATGTATAAACTTCAAAATATTACTCTGTTAAAAAACTTATTTAAAAAAGAGAGAAAGAGAAAGCATTCAGTTGTGGAGGTTAGGAAACTAGTTACTGTGTTAGAAAGTGGGGTCAAATTTTGTGAAGTATGTTTTTTCCTTGTGAAATATCTTTTTTCCAGCAAATCCCCCCAAATTGGTGTTTGCTTTCTTAATAGGTAAAATTTATAATATTTAAATAGCTCAGAATTGCTTAGCTTTAGTGTTTGAGGCTTTTGTATCAAGACTTGAGCATCATAAATTTATAGTCATTGTTCTTAATCCTGTGGGGTAGTAGTTTCTGTTGTAATCACAGATAACCTTTCTTGATATTGGTTTCCTGATGTAAGTCACTTGGGTTCCATGAGGAGCAAGCTGTTAGGGAATCCAGGCAGTCAGGCTTCAGGGTCCACACTGCTTCCCGCTGCACTACACTGCCTGTCGCTGTAAAAGCTGGTCCAGCTGTAATCACTAATCATATAGAAATATAACCATAAATTACAAATGATCATTTGCCTTCAAACGCCTTACATTTTTAGGCATGGATTGGTAGACTCCTAAACTAAATTTCTAGTTTAGTAATCTGGTTGCACTTAAAGGACGTGTTAAATCTTTCAAGTATTTTCATGAGAAAGTAAGTTTGCATTTCTAAAATAAATTTGGAAGTTTGGAAATAACCACTGATAAACTGTTGGCTTCTTCATATGGCTTCCCTCAGAGCACACTGCCAGATACCAGTAGTAGGACCACAGTTCATACCTCTGAATACTAGTTAGTATACTTTCCAATATCCCATGCTGTTTTACTTTTCTGTCTGAGGAGGACAAGTGCAGGAGTCATAGGAGGCAAAGAGTCCTGGTGAAAATAGTGATTCTTTATTAATTAGAATTAGACAGTTTAACCAACAGTTTTTGCCAACCATTTCTGTGTCTTGTGAGACTCTCCCCCACCCTTAGTTGTAATACATTTGCATCAATAACCGTTTTTGACTATAGCAGGGATTCAGTGCCCCCTCCACACACTCACATTCTTCACGCTCTTCACTGTTCATATTACATCTAACTAGGACAATATAAAGCAGACCATACCTCATAGATTATATCATTAGCATGTTGATTCTTTTTAAAAAAATTTTTTTTAATGTTTATTTATTTTTGAGAGAGAGAAAGAGAGACAGTGTGAGCAGAGGAGAGGCAGAGAGAGAGAGAGGGAGACATAGAGTGTGAAACAGGCTCCGGGTTCTGAGCTGTCCGCACAGAGCCCGACGTGGGGCTCAGATTCACGAACCACGAGATCATGACCTGAGCTGAAGTCTGACGCTTAACCAGATAATCCACCCAGGCACCCCATGGAGGTAGATTCGTATTCTCAGGGACACACTACAGAATTTCTCTGTAGAAGGCAATACAATATAGTGATTAAGATGAACTTTGAAGTCACATAGGCCCTATGTTTGAATCTTAGCTGTGACTTAGCTTCTGCAAATAGGTTACCTAATCTCATTATACCTGACCTCATTGGTAAAATGAGAATACTGTCACACATGTTGTAATTTAAGGTTTAAGTTTATAATTAGGAAATAGCATCATTCTTCACACATATTGATTACGCATAAATTTTTGATTCATTCATTCAGCAGATATTTATTAAGTGCCTGTTTATATTTATGCATTTATGCTTTTTCAGGCTCTGGGGATATAGCACAAAAAAAAAAACACCACACAACTGTGCCTTTAAGCAGCTTATAGTTTTATCAGAGGAGGGAATTACAGGCAATAAACAATAAACCTACATAAACATTGGATAAACTATGAAGAGGAGCCTACCTGGAGATGACAGTATTCTTCCCTGGGGAAAGTTGATGAGGGCCAGTGGGAAGACCTTTGGGTACTGATATTTGAAGGCCCTTCAGTGAAAAACCAAGTATGTTGGTTAGCCACTGAGACCCATCATTCTGCTTTCTGTCCCTACGTATTTGACTACTCTAGGAACCTCAAACAAATGGAATTGTACAATATTTGGCCTTTTGTGACAGCTCATATCATTTAGCATAATGTCTTCAAGGTCCATCCATGTTGTAGCGTGGGTCAAAATTTCCTTGCTAATTAAGGCTGAATAATGTTTCCACATTTTGTTTATCCATTCATCTATCAGTGGATACCATTGATGGTTGGTCATTTCTGTCTTTTCATTACCACGAATAATGCTGATTTTACTCCTTTTGACTGTATAGCAGAAGTGGAATTACTGAATTATGTGGTAATTCTGTATTTAATTTTTTTTAATTAACTAATTTCTCTTTAATTTACATCCAAGTTAGCACATAGTGCAACAATGATTTCAAGAGTAGATTCCTTAATGCCCCTTACCCATTTAGCCCATCCCCCCTCCCACAACCCCTCCAACAACCCTCTGTTTGTTCTTTTATGTTTAAGAGTCTCTTATGTTTTGTCCCCCTCCCTGTTTTTATATTATTTTTGCTTTCCTTCCCTTATGTTCATCTGTTTTGTATCTTAAAGTCCTCATATGAGTGAAGTCATGTGGTATTTGTCTTTCTCTGACTAACTGATGTTGCCTAGCATAATCCCTTCTTTTTTTTTTAATAAATTAATTTATTTATTTATAAAAGTTTTTTTATTTTTTCTAAATATTTTTTTCTTTTTTTTTCAATATAGAAATTTATTGTCAAATTGGTTTCCATACAATACCCAGTGCTCATCCCAAAGGTGCCCTCCTCAATAGCTCACCACCTCCTCTCCCACCCCCCATCAACCCTCAGTTTGTTCTCAGTTTTAAGAGTCTCTTATTAGCTTTGGCTCTCTCCTCTAACCTCTTTTTTTTTTTTCCTTCCTCCCATGGGTTTCGTGGGGTTTCTCAGGATGCACTAGCATAATCCCTTCTAGTTCCATCCATGTAGTTGCAGATGGCAAGATTTCATTCTTTTTGATCCCCAAGTAATACTCCATTGTGTGTGTGTGTATGTACACATATATATGTACACATATGCATATACACTTATACATATATACATATATGTATATGTGTGTATATATGTATGTGTATATTTATATATATGTATGTATGTATACATATATGTACATACATATATATACACACACACACACACACCACATCTTCTTTACCCATTCATCTGTTGGTGGGCTTTTGGGCTCTTTCCATACTTTGGCTATTGTCGATAGTGCCGCTAGAAACATTGGGGGGCATATGCCCCTCAAAACAGCACACCTGTATCCCTTGGATAAATACCTACTCGTGCAATTGCTAGGTCGTAGGGTAGTTCTATTTTTAATTTTTTGAGGAACCTCCATACTGTTTTCCAGAGTGGCTGCACCAGTTTACATTTCCACCAGCAGTGCAAAAGAGATCCTCTTTCTCCGCATCCTTGCCAACATCTGTTGGCTGAGTTGTTAATTTTAGCCATTCTGACTGGTGTGAGGTGGTATCTCATCGTGGTTTTCATTCCTGATAATGAGTGATGTTGAGCATTTTTTCATGTGTCTGTTAGCCATCTGGTTGTCTTCTTAGGAGAAGTGTCTATTCATGTCTTGCCCATTTCTTCACTGGATTATTTGTTTTTTTGGGTGTTGAGTTTGATAAGCTCTTTATAGATTTTGGATACCTACCCTTTATCTGATATGTCGTTTGCAAATATTTTCTCCCCTTTTGTCGGTTGCCTTTTAGTTTTGCTGATCGTTTCCTTCGCTGTGCAGAAGCTTTTTATTTTGATGAGGTCCCAATAGTTCATTTTTGCTTTTATTTTGCTTGCCTCCAGAGCCGTGTTGAGTAAGAAGTTGCTGTGGCCGAGGTCAAAGAGGTTTTTGCCTGCTTTCTCATCTAGGCTCTTGATGACTTCCTGTCTTACATTTAGGTCTTTCATCCATTTTGAGTTTATTTTTGTGAATAGTTTAAGAAAGTGTATTTAATTTTTTAAGGAAATGCCATACTGTTTTCCACATTAGCTGCCTTTTACATTACTGTTAGTAATATACAGGAGTTCCAGTTACTCCATATCCTTGCCAACACTTACTGTGTGTTGTGTTTGTTTCTGATAGCCATCCTAATGAGTGTGACGTGGTATCTCATGGTTTTGATTTGCATTTCCCTGATGACTTATGATGTTGAACATCTTTTCATGTGTTTATTGGACATTCATTCTTCTGTGGAGAAATGTCTGTTCAAGTCTTCTACACATTTTTTAATTGGGTTGGTTTTTTGTTGAGTTGTAGGAGTTCTTTATATATTCTGAGTATCATTCCTAATTAGATCTATGATTTGCAGATATTTTCTTCCATTCCATGGGTTCCCTTTTCTCTCTGTTGATTATATCCTTTGTGCGAAGTTTTTTTTTATTTTGATGATGTCTCATTTACCTGTTTTCCTCATGTTGCCTGTGCCTTTGGTGTCACATCCAAGAAATCATTACCAGACCCAGTGTCATGAACCTTTTTTTTCTGTTTTCTTCTAAGATTTGTAATTACAGTTTTAGCCCTAACGTTGAGGTCCTTGATCCATTTTCAGTTAATTTTTC